CAGGTTCGACGACGGGGTATTCCCCACCGGCATCTATACAATTCCTTCCGCTCAGAGAACTGAAATTGTGCTCATCACGTGCTCTGACGGTGAGTGTTTGTCTTGGAGAGGGAGAAAATCGCGGGGGGATCTGAGTTATTCAACGAGTATTATTTTGAAGGGAAGTATCGCCTAGCGAGTAAGACAAGTGAGCGAGTCATCGATGGCCACGTGGGCGCCATACTCAGCGCCGGCTGGAGTCACGATGCCTCGATGTTGGCTACAGCGGGTGAAGACGGAACGCTCCGACTCTGGTTACGAAATGGATCGTACAAATCAAATTTAGGCGAACACGGTGAGAGATAAGAATGGGGAGGAGTGTGCTCATCGAGCAGAAGTTGAGAGGCGTCGGCTCAAGGCTCATGGGCACTCATGGAACAGATCGCATTCCATTCGTCTATGACCGAGAGACTGGATCCCGTTGCTCAATTCGCGATCAAGTCCTTCGAGTCTGAGCGGAAGTTCCTTCCAGAGACACCCGTGACATGTATGTCTTGGAGTCCGATTACCGCAGAATTAGTGTATTCGGTCGATCAGAACGTTTATTGGCGTTCGCTCCACGGCGAAGATAAGAAAGCCCGGACGTGGAAAGCTCATTCAGCCACTGTCACAACGGTAGCGTTAAGCCTTCAAGGAACTCTCGTCTCTGGTGAGTGTCCTTACCACCATCATAGATCGCTCATCGGTGATACGCCATCACCCATCACAGAGCCGAAAGGCGACGATCTGTGCGAGCATTAGAATTTATTCTTCAGCATCATCTTTCGAAAGGTTCTGGGGGGGAGGGGGTGAGGGCTCTGGTTGGAGTCCAATGTTCGATGTGATCAGTGCTCACCACGGAATATTTCGTTTCCAGGCGGCGAAGATTGCAAATACAAATTATGGGACACTGCGGGCAGATCCCTTTTCTACGGAGGGGTGACGGACCAACCCGTTTCATCGCTAGCCTGGACCCCGGACGGAGAATTGTTCGCAGTCGCCTCATTTGAAACGCTTATTCTGTGTCACAAGACCGGGGTTGGTTAAAACTACGTATGACTTATGACTGAGGAATTAGCTCGGAAAAATTCATCTGCTAAAAGAAAACGTGTCAAATAATCACGACGAATCATTCCAGTACGTCATTTCCAAAGACTATCCATCATGTCAGAGCATTTCCTCATTGTGCTGGAACGACTGCGGGACACAACTTGCGGGGGCAACCTCGAGCGGAAAAGTCCTCCTGGCTTCCCTGGTCGACCGAACTCTGGAATGGAATCAGTACGAAGTGTCGACCGTGGGCACGAAGCTGTGTCTCGCGACCGACGTCAACATGGAGAAGGGTTCGAGCGTGGAGCTGACTTTCCAGGTGGGGTACCCCAAGAGGAACGACTTCTCAGAAGCTTCGAGTGTGATTCGAAATTACCGCATATTGGGACGTGGAAGATCGCTCCAGATCCGAGCAGGGAATCAAGCTCGTCGCATTCTTCCAGGGGCAAAGCGCGGCCCAGCTAGCCCTCCAGTTCGGACATTTGTTGGTTTCCACCAACCAGACCGGAGGAGTATTCGTGTACGGCGCAGGTCAATGGCAAATGCCGACGCTCATCCGACCCACGCTGGTCTCTCCTGTCAAGTGTTTCCGACAAAGCGGGAAATATTTGGCATTCGCCGATAGCGCTGCCATTCATGTTTACGCTTACAACGGTGAGTTCTCACGGGAATCCTCAGATTGCGCAAAGCTCCTCTGCACGAGCTGGTCCCTCTGCCCCCGGGCGGGAATCTCTGCGAGCAGAAGACGTTTCATTTTCAGCACCCGCGATCAATGTTTTGCAGGGAAAGGCTTGTGCACCATCCGGCATCCCTTCTTGCGCGCAAATATCTCTAGAATCTTCGACATAAATGATGAGATTGTTGTCCTCGCCGTGCAGAACTCGATACAATTCTTCAACATCAACACTGGAAAACAGTTGGCTCCACCCTTCACGCACGAGGTATGCTGCTTGAAAAGGGAGGCGGAGTTTTGAGCCTTGTGGATTCTATTCCCTCGATCCCGCGGGACGATCCGAACCAAAAACGAGTTTTTGTACGTATGCAGCGATCCCTGAAAGAACTGCGCGTGGAGCAGCGAAGCTGGCCGGAGTCCCTGTCGGGAGGGGAGCATTTAATGAGTCTGATTGATTCCGAAGACCAGATGCATCTCGTATGCTTGCGCGGGAAACAGGCCTACAGCCTGTTCGCAGGTGATTGCTGAGCTCTTGGCGAAGACAATTCCAGACGTCGCGGAGGAATCAATTTTTCGAGTTGAAAGCAACTGTCCACGGACGAGTGCCCATATTATCATTCCGGTGCGTGGACACATTCGTTTGAATCATTTCTGAAGATCGGATCGTTACAGAGTCACAAATTCTCAGCACCATGTGGAGCGAGACCGCGCGGCAGCTTTGTGCTCTGCGTGACGGACAACTCCTCCTTTGGGAATGTGCCTGGAGCTTCAATGTCGCCGCGAAGCTAATGGAGCTTTCGAAGCACACGATTCCCATCGCCGATATCGGCCCCGGTGGATCACTCGAGAATTTCCACGGTAGTCTCGTGAGCCTGAAACAAACGAATGGGTCGATCTTCACTCAAGCCGTCCCCCTGTACAGCGAGAAAATTGAAGAGGCGATCGACAAGTCGCAATGGGATTCAGCTCTCAAAATCGCTCGTTTCTTCGACGTAAGTTCTTTCGCATCCGTCGATGGATGGCATTCTGGTTTCAGCTTCAACACAATGCGTCGGGAGGATGCAGAATGCCGAGAAATTCTGAACGCTGCAGCTTGTGAGGCTTCAAGCTCCGGAAATCCACGCTACGCAGGGATTCAAAGGCGTCGCCGTAGGGATTACCGGTCCCTGTCGCAGGAGCACCCGGATCTATTTTTCGAGTTTTCCGCGCAGATCCGTTTTCGACGGGCCTAAACTCTCCTAATGGCATTGAGCTCCAAGAGCTCCGTGACTCCACTCTGACGAGTTCCCCCCCGCCCCCGGGAAAAAAACATTCGGACTTCATGCTCTCATCCTTGCGTCCACGGAGTGAGGACGCGAGAGAAGGGCTATCGCCTATCGCACGACGGCATTCGGTCTTCAAGAGTTTCCACAGATGCCACGCGCATGGATTCGATGGGGAGCCTCGGTCCCATCAGGTCAACCCCATGGGGGTTTCGCGAACGATCTCGCGGGCCCCTGGCGTTTGTTCCAACTCTAGAGCCTGACTTCGATCGGCAGCGAAACGCGCGAATTCACTCCTGGGATTCGTCTGGGGAGAGCAGTCAAGATGAGTTTGCCAACTCGAATTTGACGCTCAATCTCTCGGCGGTCGCTGAACTATATGCATCGGCTTTAGCGAGGGCACTAATCGGATGCCTGGTTCGGAACGGCGCGGCTAACCCCGGCGGGGACCAGGTCTATGCAGCTGATGCGAATCTGCATGTGAAATGCTCATCGCACGGTCCCCCCGAGTTTTCCCTCCTCGTTGGTGCCTGTTTCCGACCCCCAATTCCGTCAGTTCGTTTCGGAAGGAGGCACTATGCGAGGATTCCCGCCTTTGTGATCTATCGACTTTCGACCCTCAGCAGTGCAGGATTCCAGTCGGTTATCCTACGCAAGCGGACGTCCATGAAGCCTCGCCTATACGGGGTTGAGGTTTTTCCGAATTCGGATGGTGCCATGCCATGCAGTGTATGGCGTAGATCACCTTTCTGTTGATGACTCTCCGACGAAGAGGAACTTAACGTTGGAGAGTATGAGGGGGCGCCATCGCGATCGAATCGCGGCCCGTGCTCGGATTCGGCTCAAACGAAGGGCTTTCCAGAACATCACGATTCCTTCGTGGCGAGTAGGCTCTCTTGACTTTTGGATCTTCTCACGATGATTATTCGGACTACGCAATGGAAAACAATGATGATTCATACGTTCCGATGTACATCGGTTTCTGCACAACCGCGCACCATCAGCCATTCTGGCTTCGGCCGCTTCGGGTGGTTTCGCCGGTCGCAGGCATCTTCTATACCCGAACGAGCTTACCCGGGAGCGGGGAAATTCCGGTATATTCCGGGTTCCAGATCTACGGAACAGAGCCCCAGGAAGATCCCGATTTCCCCATAGATATACATACGAAGCATATGCAGAGCACCATTCGATGATCCGGCTATCATGTCACCGTTCATCATGTTGACCTTCCCCTCGGACGGACCAGAATCCGGAATGAGCCACTCATACGGAACTTATTTCAGACGAATCAGACCTGGTGTACGTTAGCGTGCGTTGCTCTCTTGGGTCGGAAGCTCACAATAGCCCGCGACGCCTTCACGGCGCTCGGACAGGTAGATCGCGCGGACTATCTCGACAAGATACGCGAACAAGGCGGTCAGATGGAAGGGCTCTTGGTGCAGTTACTCGTCACAGGTGAGTCGTAAATCGCTGCAACCTCCGAATGGTTCAATTCGAATGGACAATAAGAGCATGATCCGATAACGAACCTTGAACGCAGGTGGACGAGCTCGTCAGCAGGTTGAGGGTCAGATGGTGCAAATGGGTAAAATCCTGGATGCCATCATGCTGAACGTCCACGCCCATCAGTGGGACAGGTGGGTTGATGATCCCGACTTGATACTCGATTTCGTAGAGAGAATTGATTTGATTTCATCCCAGTATCACAATCTGAACTTTTGAAAACCACTTGGCAGAGCTCTCTCCCTGGCCATGAAACAGAACGCGCATATTGATGTTGTCCTGGCGTACCGCAAGAAATATCTCGAGCGCTTCAACAAGATTGAAGACGAACCCTTGTTCATCGAGACCAACAAAAAGGTCTATAAAACTCGGAACTTCACATCTCGTATCCGTGGAAGATTGATGAAACTCACGAGTTTCATTTCATTCCATAAGGATCCTGACAGAACGTTTCCTCGTTTTTCCAGTTCAAAGCAGACGATATGGACTACATGAAGATTCGAGAAATGGTTTCTCAGCAGAGTGTTGTCGAACTGTGAAACAGCTCCGGGACCATTGACGACGACGACCCATCCGCGCAGTGATTCAATAAATCAGTCAGACTGACTCGAAATTCGTCGGTCTTCTCATTTCGTGCGGAACTGAATCTTCCAAGTGTGCCATCTTCCGACGATTATGACTTTGCGCTTCCTTTTCGACCATTTTGGAAAGCTTGTCTTCTGCCTGGGCTCTCTAAAGAATGCCCTGCGCAGCAAACGCAAACATAGAATGCAACGATGTCGAGATTGTGTGATTACGAAAACAGGAATGCCGACCCTGTCGACCTACAGACCGAGCGGTCACGCGAAGGACCCTGACTTCCTCATCCTTAGGTTTTGGAGGGTGTCGCCCACACGTAGGATATTGGTCCAGGTCTTAATCCAGAAGACGATCGGCCGACATAATTTTGAAGCCTGTGAACGTCGTCGGTTTATCACCGGGTTTGATATTTCCCCCAGATGGGACGAGGACCTTGGCTGGCGTCCAGACAAAAGTCATGGACTATCGGAACCCTGAGGGCTAATATGTGCAATCACCGAAAGATCAACTAACAAATGTGGTAGCATCCAGAGAATGAAGCAGATGTGCAACAACAAGTCTTTGCGGACTACAATGCTCAACGTGGATTGCGAATCTCTTGCAGCGGCCGTAAATTCAAAAATTGAAAGGGGAAGGCTATTCGGAAAATAAATGCTTTTTTTTATTAGGGTCTCCCATGCGTATTTCCTTGTCTACGTCCCGCTGTTGCTGCTGAGACTTCTGAAGCGACTCTGGACCCGCGCGAAGCGTCAGGAGTTGCTTAACAGCGAGAATCTAGAAACATGTGCTCGAAAATATTATTTCCCATCTCTCCGAGTTTCGAAACTCCTCGTGTACAGGTCGGTTTTCACTGGTGTCAAAGCAGCACAGGAGAAGGTCTGGATTCTGATCCCGGTACGGTTTTCGACAGAAATTGAAGCCACGCGGTTCCCCGTCGGTCTGGTGATCTGTCGACAGGTGACGCCGAAGTAGCTTGTCGGGTTTCGTCGCTCATGCTCTTCGGGCGAAGAACGGAACAAAGATTACGGTAACCGCCGTCAATTCTGACAGTCAAGAATCGCTTGAAGAAAGCGGGAAAGTATTGATCTTTCATGGCTTCGCCTGAGCTATCGATCTGTTTCTGGAAACCCACCAATGTGTAGGGGGCGGAGGCGCACCGCTCTGCAAAGATACTCAGAATGGAAGTCGAAACGCACACAATGGTCTCATTTCGCTCGCTTTCTTGATTCTCAAGCGAGATCGCATGAGAAAAGTCGTTTGACTGAGTTGACCTTGACTCTGATCCTTTTTATAGACTCAGTTTCATTGATGTGAAAGGTACGAGTCCAAGACGTGCGTGCTAAGTGCCGCGACTAGGTATCATTCAAAAGTTCATCCGACCTTCGGACTATCTGTGTATCGTGGAGAGCACGTCGCGCAACGGCATGGAAATTCCTCTTTAAAATCTCCACGGGACGTTCCACCCGAGCGACTCCCGAACTTTCATCTCGTTGAATCCTTCGTAAGTCAGCGAGAAAAAAAAACTCTTCTTCCAGAGGCCCTGCCGAAGAGAGTCTGGGGCGACTTTGTTGCTCCGTTTTCATTATTGGTCAGCGCTAAACGAGCTGAAATCTTGTGGACACCCCGGAGGTCCGACCCATATGGAATCTGATTTCGGGAAAGTCCGTCCCGTCCGAAATAGTGCCCCTGAGCAGGCTGGGATACACTAGTTCCGTCTCGGCAGATTAGATGATTATCTTCGCAGGGCGAAGCCCCGAGAGAGGGCTGAGAAACGAAACGAATGATTGAATTTCTCATATTTTCAAACTCTAATTACCGGGGAGATGACTCTTTTCGGCTTGTCGAGCCGGATGGGCGCAGGAGCTGGCTTCATTTGGAGATAATTAGTGGAAAAGCAGAAATTTGATAGAAGCATGTCTACGCTAGACTTTCCTCAAACAATCAGGCTGCCGGGTTCTCTGCCGGGATGAAGTTGAGACTGACGGATGGGTCGTCACTCCACACAGCATGATATCCCGTACACCCGGTTGTCTCTGAAATTTCTAATCTTCTGCATTTTCCGTCCTCCTGATTCTGGAGCTTCCGCGCTCCCGGTGTCCGCCAGCGTGACCGACGGGTACGGGATCTGTTTTCTGGATCCGTGAGTGTTTTCTAGGACTCGACTTTTTCCCCTCTCGGCATTACGCCATCATCAATGATTGTTCCTATCCTTCTATACCGAGCAGCGTGATGACTCGAAATAATTAATGGCCCGCAATAATGCGTGTTGACTATTCAGTTTAGACAACTACCGGCAAACACTGGGATGAGCCAGCCAATCTGGCGAAAAATCTGACAGAGCAAAGGGGCGGCACAGCGTCGCCGAAGCGCGCGGCCGTGGCTGGTGAGGGCCGAGACTGAGGGAACGTAAGGGCGAGGGGCGTTGGATGCCAACCACGGCTCGATTCAGTGACATGCGGAGCTCCGAGTAGCACTGACGAGCCATGGCCGTCGACACGAAGAGGTTCGACGATGGAGTGCCTTCTCTCTGGCTAGAGCCCCTGGCGTTGGCCGCCTTGCTGGCTCTAGTCGTGTGTGTTGTGTGTAAGCTCTATTCTCGATTGACTGTGGGAGTGTGCACCTCCACGAAGAGCATGAAGGGCAAAACCGTCATCATAACCGGTGCGAACGCCGGCATCGGCAAGGAGACGGCTCGCGAGCTGGCCAAAAGGGACGCGCGAGTGATCATCGCCTGCAGGAACCTACAGAAAGCTTCTGAAGCTGCCAAACAGATCGAGGCTGAAACCGGCAAGCAGATCTTCATCAGGAAGCTTGACTTGTGCTCTCTGAAGTCGGTGAAAGACTTTGCAGAAGAGATCATCCGGGAGGAGGAACGGGTCGACGTTCTGATCAACAACGCTGGGATCGTTCCGTTCCCAGAACGCGTGGAGACCGTCGACGGATTCGAACAGACGTTCCAGACAAATCACTTGGCGCCGTTCCTTCTGACGAACCTGCTGCTGAACAAAATGAAAGAAACCCCTTCGTCCCGCATCATCACCTTATCGTCGAGCTTGCACCACTTCGGCAGGATCGATCCCGACCACTTGGACTATTCCGCCTACAAAGTGCCCATGCAAGTCTACTCGGACACGAAATTGGCGAATATTCTGTTCACCCGCGAGTTGGCTCGAAGACTCCGAGGAACCGGGGTGACCGCGAACGTGTGCCATCCGGGAGCCGTGCAAACCGATATCAACAGCACTTATGTCGGATTTCTGAACTTCTGTCTCAACTGTTTGTTCTTCTTCTTCGGGAAAACCCCCCTCGAAGGAGCTCAGACGTCGCTGCATTTGAGCGTCTCTGAAGAAGTCGACGGTATCAGCGGCGAATACTGGAAGGACTGCCGCGTGGCCAAGGGGAGCGCTGCTTCAAGAGACATGAAATTGGCGACTAAGCTCTGGAATCAATCAGAGAAGCTGACAGGTCTTGCCATATGAGCCCAATGATTTGGCAGAACACTTGGAGTTTTCGCGCATCGACAGCAACATGCCCAGTTGCCACTGCATCCATCCGGCCGACCGAATCGGCCGGAGCTTGCCTGCGATGGGGCAAAAGAACAAGAGTGACGAATGAAACGCTTGGAATGTCCTCATCGACGAGGAATCTGGATCGTCTGGCACGAGTCCGAAGAGGAATGGTTTTGTGTAGCAATAAATTATTAATACTCCAAGAAAAACAAAACGATACCCCTTAATCGGATAAATATCCGCGCCTATACCACTCTTTAGGTAAACGCTTCGAGCCTGCCGAGTATCAACTGCTTTTCTGCGTGTTTGCTCGCAGGTCTCAATGACTCGACGCTCTGTCTCCAGAACGGCCGTCAATGATGTCTATTTTGGATTTGGACACACATCGATTACTTAGCGGGTGTCTGTGACGTAATCCGTTTCATCCCATTCGATCCCACGGCTTCTTCACGGGGTTCAGAAGCGGTGCTCGATCCATCCGTCGTATATCTATCTGACCACGATTTCGGGATTCTTCTCGTTTACTGGACGGAACGCAAGCGCACCTTCTCCCGCAGACGCAACAGAGACTCTGCCCGATACCAGATCGTCGTGAACACTTTCACTCGTGATCACCATATGCCCCGTTGTTTCATCATAGAGTCGAATACAAATGTTCTTTGTCCCTTGCTCGACCGACAGCGACGTAATAACGAGCGGCTTCACCTTGGCGTATCAAGAAACATTCAGAGCTTTATCGTTCACTTGCCCACGGCGGGCGAAGAGCGGAACGCTCGTGAGACCCATGTCACTAAAGAAACTGGGAGCCCAAGCGCTCGCTGGGAGTCGAACGACGCTCTCCACGGCTGATTCCCTCCCGCAATGTTCTGTAACTTTCACTGGTCCAATCGCCGTCGGAGGAGCACCATGGGGTTCATGTCGGATCGCGTGCCTCCGCGTTCGTTCTGTAATCGTTCGACTGGGCTTTGCCGCTCAATCAACCCGAGGCAAGAGCAGTCTGCTGGCAGAAAAGACGCCGGGGCCGAAAGCTAAGATAGGACTTACGCAAGTGATCGTCGCGTGTATCGCCGTCGAATTAAAAAAAGTATATGTTTTCCCCCGGCGAGCCGGAGCCCTATAATATGGCAAGAGGAAGGAGACAAGAAGGTCAGAGGTCTTGGAATCCTTTCGGTATGGATCGATCCGTTGCGAAGTTTCTCCAAAAAGCGTTTCTCATGTCGATCGCCGCAGCTGCCTCTGGTGTTGGAGCTCATTTGAGCCGAGGGAAAGCGTGCTCTGCCCCTTCCCGGAACGCTCCCTCCCCGTGGTCGAGCTCACAGTTCGGAGTGAATCTAGCTGACGGTTCCAGATCAGTGGACTAACGATGCCTCGGGCTCAAGGCCAACGTTTAATCTTCCATGCGACTCGTGAGGAAAGAATGCCCCGCTTATTTTTGTCCGCGCGTATGCCAAGAATGCGTGACGCCTAGTCCGTTCTCCGCTCATTCCGAACATTCTGGTCCCGTTGCCATCAGCTGGGGTTTCAGCGTCGAATTGAGAATTGGAAGCAATTAGAATGTGGGACAGCGCTCGCTTTTCAAGGTCAGCGAAGTTTAGTCGTCTGTTCGAACCGGCGCTCTGCGACGGCAGCGACAAAAGTTTGGCGACTTGCTGGTCACACGAACCCTGATATTAGCGAGGGAGCTCACTCGCCGTCTAACTAACGGGCCGACTTTCGTTGCAGTGTTAACATCGCAGGCGTCTGGTGCGCGGCGTGGCGAATGAGTCAGTCGACTACCGCAATCCGCGAACGGTGCTTGCGTGTGTCGTAGAAGATATTTCTGTCCGAAGGAAAGCAGTGAAACTTTCTCCGTTGATACAAACGACACGACGGAAAAACTTCCCTTTCAACAACGGTTCCGGCAGCCCCCGTCGATCTCGAATCTTCCTTGAGCTCTGATTTCGCTCCAGTTTGGTAACCTCTGAGGTCGACGCCGTTCGAACCAAAAACTCCACGCTCTTATCATCATTTTCCTCCTTTACCTTCAGGCTTGGAGCAGCTCCTGCGGTCCCCAATCCGGTTGACAGCTGCTTCGGCACGGTAACGCAACAGCTGAACTGTCAAGGGATGAATCCCATCGGCTTCCGTTATTTGAAGAGCCACAATCAGAAAACTTCCGAATGTATTATACATAGTACAACCATCTCCAGAGAACCAATCGGTAGCGATCGAGAGCACTATAGGCCGTCGCTGAGGGCATAGCGAATTCGTCCGATCGTTTTCAAATCCCGTAATCGCGGTGAAGTAGTGCGACAGCATGAGTTCTCGATTAGCTTCGTGTCCCCTCGTATTGCGGACTTTAGTCAAATATCGTCGGAGCCGCGCCTAAGCAACGAGCCCGATGCTCGTTGGAAGGAGGCACGTCGAAGGTCGTCCCATTTCACTAAGGCATTCGTTTCAGGGATAGAATACGCATTGAAATGAGTTTGCGTGAGTGGAAATGGACCGAACACGCAGACAGACTGGCGCGTTATGCGCCGCACACCAACTCCTACAAGACTGGACAAAGCGAGACTGAGAACGTGAATAACTGGCATTTATATTCTCGGCATGGACATGCTGAGAAGGATAGCCTCCGGTGGGGCGACTTGTCGATGAATTCTGCTCCCGCTCCCGAAAATATCTAAATGCACGGATCAGATTCAAGCTGAACAAGAAACCGTGTTACGTAAAGTCTTATAATCCCGAGCTGTAATGATTTCGGCGCAGATAACTCCACGCCGGAGCAAGTGCTTCTGGAAATAGGCAGGGTGTTTGCTAACGGTGCATCGGAACACTTGCGCCGGCCCGGTCCCCTCTCAGAATCGAGAAGTCGTCTCCCTAGTCGGACCGAGTGACATCTGACAGATTCAGCGTAGATTCGTCGCATTTTTCCTTTCCGATCCCGTATTCAAGGTAGAACCTCGTAACGAAAGACCAAGATATAACGGACACTCGGTTACAACGAACCGACTGTTCGGTCCCGGACAAGCCTGTTAGGTCTTCGATATTAAGTGACTCGGCTGTAGCGGACCCAATAACGGACTTACTGATATAGAAGACTGTTCCCAAGGCCTCCTTGCCATATCCTCCCATGCTAATCAGATCGGCTGTGACGGACCTGTTCTTGCGGGTAGGGAATTCGGAAGCGTTAGCCTATCGAACGATTCGGAAGGTTCTCGCACTCATGCGCATCGTAGGAAAGTCTGCCGCGGTGTTACCGATGATAATACGCTCCATACCGATTTAGAACCCATCGTCGGATAGATCGGACCACGGATATCACGGACCCTCTCGGCCGCTCCCTTTCAGTCTCCTGCGAGAAGATTCCACTGTTCTAGTGTATTGAAGCATAGTCTATTCGGATCCCGGAGTTCGGTTCGGTTAATCCGGAGCATAATTCCTCGAAAAGTCTGGCATGCTGAATATCTTGCCTGTCGCCGAGCATTCACTTGAGATCATCGCGTCTTTCCGCAACGAAAAAAGATGAGCATCCTCACTCGACCCGCATTGCTCAACCTTCTGGACAGAAATCAAAACTCGATTCAATGATACCCGGGAAAGTCGAGTTGTTACGCGATCCTGCCCTTGCGTAAAGAATAGACGCTTTCGGTGACCGGATGCCGTCATCGAGGAGCTGAACCCCGGCGAGAGGGCCCTAAACTTTCTATTTCGATTGCATAATTGATTCTGAATAGCACACCGACACAGAAGCGGAAAGGAGTTTCAGCGAAAGCCCTCCGCGGCTTGTTTGAGAAACTTTCGCTCGAACCCTTTCAGAAAGATCCCTTTCGTCGGCTGTTTTGCGAGCTCCCTCTGGTTCGTTACACTTCCAGCTCGAGCTGAGCCAAACTTCGCTTGAGCCATAAATGATCATAAGCGCTCGGCGCTTTTCGGTTGCCGTGAGCCCTGTCTAGAGCATATTTTCACGTAATTTTTTGGTTTCCATGAGGATATCGGAGAAGGAGAAGCGAATCCGTGGTTCGGGGCAATTCTATTCTCGTTCTGAACCCAGAAGTCCGAGGCGGCGTGGCGTTCTGAGATATCAGGAGGAAGCAGACAACAGGCAACAGGAATTCCTCGTGGACGCGTCTCAGGTCTTGGACTCCGCGAGTGTCCTCCCGATTCTGCTCTTTGTTCCCTAAATTTTCCCACGAGACGGAGAACAGCAACAGTAAGCGGTACCGAGGATATAAACGATAAGCCTCTTTATATCTGTGATTTCGTAAGCTAATTATGGGTGAATTTCCGTTCGAACTTGTGGAAAGAGTTGGCGAAGCTATCAAGTGTCTCCTTTCTCTTTTTCTTTCATTTGTTTTCGGGGCTGGACACATCGCAGATCTGTCGGGAAGCAAGCGGCCGAGAGCTAAGGCTGGTTTTGCGGTCGCGCCTTTAGGCTTCTATGACTGAAAGAAAAAACAAGAGAAAGAGCCGCGCCGACGCATCGTATAACGCACTTTCCGATTTGAAGAATTCGAATGCATGAGCCCTCGAAACTATTCCATGCGGCACTTCAATCCATCATTCCTCAAACATTTCTCGGATACCCACTATTAGGACTGACATTGCGATACACGTGAAGGTTCCCAGCTAAGCCCTCCATAGCGTCGATGATGGCCAAAATGTCGTGGATTTTTCTAATATTTTTTTATCCGTTTCACGGCAGGTATCAACGCCGGCTTTTTGCATAGGTTACATCGGGACAGATGAATGAGATGAGACAATCGGTTTTGGCTCAGGTTCTTCGGCCTCTGAGGCGTTGAGATTCGAACTTCTGCACGGCTCGCGGAGAGTCGCTGAGTGTGATGATGATGATCGATTTTGTTCTGGATCGAAACTCAACCGACCGTGCTCCGAGCCTCAACCCGGAAGAAGACTCGGATGGCCAGAAAGCTCGGCGAATGGATGGAAGAAAATACTAGACTCATGTGCTTGCACCTTCCTGACGTTCCGTCCAAAGTTTTTGGAACCGCCGGATACTAGCTTATGTTCAATGACGTTATTGCAAGTGATTTAGTAACTGCCACTCGCTTGACACAATTACACATGGCGCGACCCTGAAATCTTTGGGAAACCCGGCGACAAAAGTTCTCGCTCAATGGGCAGCAATACATGAGATAGTTTGCTCGCAAAATAGAAAACCGAGTGCTTCCGCACAATGAAAGCCCTGTATCTTGTGGTGAAGGGTAATGCTCATGCGATATTCGACGGTAGGCCGCGAACTTCGATTTCTCCGAGGCCCAGAAGTTTCAGTGGAAGCCGCGCCTCGTGCCGGGGTTCTTTGCGACAGCGAGAAACAACCGCAACTCGGAAGACGCGCCTCACCGACGACTTCGACGAACCCGTCTCTAATCGGCTCCTCACATCATTTCGTTGATTCCTCTCAGCGGGCCGATCATATTGCTGAGAAGAGAAACCACAGTTTCGCCGACGTGAAACAAACTGTATACAGCTTGTTTGGGCCAGACGAGGACCGAAAAGAGGCATTGACTCCGATATCGATCGCGATATGCGGAACCAGTATCGATAAACAAACATGGGGAATTCGAGAAGTTCTGAAGTCTGCGTCGGCCGTCTCTCTCTTCTCAAAGAAAGGGATAGACAGCGAGCAGACGTGCGAGAAGGCTCCGCGGATAGGAACCCGATCTCTAGTGAATAATTGAAGGGATTCATCAATCTTCAATCAGTGGATCTGCGCTTCACTCGAAAGTCACGAAAATGAACGCTAGCCGCTACAGTCGTTCGATTCGATTCGGAGCGGCATCATAGTGCCTCGGGAGGCCCAATATCGACGAGGACGCAGAGAACGGAATACGTTGCTTCGAAATTACCGAAAGATCGACGGGAGCTGAATTTCGTCGCACGGGCGGGTGATCCAGATTTCCGGAAGGCTCTCGGAGCCCCAAATTCCAATTTACTTCGAGCCAGAATATTTGGTACGAGCGCTTTCTAGGCCGAAGTCGAGATTCGCAGCGTTTCGGATGCGCTGTATAGGGAGTTTTCATTCACGCTTCTAGTGATCGGTATTGCTCAGTCTTATGTAGACCCCAAAAATCCGATACCATGAGGAACGGAATCAACTGTGCGGGGTTCATCTTCGGTCCGAACTGCCGCTAGATGAGCCGGCGCCGTGAGGCACCATCAGGGGTTCCCCCTCCGAGCAAGTGTGGTGCGCAGGCGCCGCATCCGAAAGAATGAGCCAAACGCAACAGCTGATTGTAGCCTAGGTGCTTTCATGGGAACCCCGCACTGGCTGAACCCGGTCATCGCGATTCAAAAACTCGCGCGCCCCCAGAAAGCGTTTTGGCGCCAATAGTTTGTTTTGTTTGGGCTGGCGCGCGCCAGAGACTTCCCATAACATTCGTCCCTTATTCTGTTTGTGAGATTTGTGACATCGAAACCTACGCGAAAATTTATCGGGAACCGCAGTCGACCGACCGGAATCCGGGTCCCCTGCTTGTGACCATGGCTCAGCACAATGAGACGAACTCGCCGATTGCGAAATCGCGTCGACCTGGACCCAAGTCTGAGGAAAAGGCAAGTGTCACAGATTTTTCGAGGCAAACCTCAGGCTCACTAGATCATACTCGGCCCAACTTGGATCGTACGTCTGGAGAGCCCCCATGGAAGATAGCCTTTCGCAGATCGCCGGTGCGTGCAGATTCACACGGGAGTCTAGACAGTTCCATCAGGACTGCATATACCGTATGTCTTCTGATAAACGGGCGTTCTCGTTTTTTTTTAAACACCTTCGAGAGACGCCCGTCCCTCAGGAGGTTCCCGTTCCATAGAAGGTGGCTCTTCGAGTCGCCATCGATTTCCCCGACTCCCCCAGTCTTAAATAGAGGGTTCGAGCTCATCCGAGCTCGAATTCATGCGACCTTATTGAGAGCACCCCACTGCGAGCGTACTAGAACCTGGTATCGATGTATATTGGCATCATGAACATTGAGTTGTGACAAGGCATGAGAGCTGAATTCGGGGGGGGGGGGAATTCACAGTCCGAATCCGGAGAACCTCGTGAATCTTCTATTTTGGCCAGATCGATCCACACTGTACAATCCTGGTCTCGATCCAATCGATTAAGCCTCTCGTTTTTTCCCTCCCTCAGCCTCGCCTAGAACTGGATGGAGACTTCGAGGAACCTTCCCACAAGGAATTCTGGGAAGCGAAGGAACGTGTTGAGAAAGAAGTCGACTGGGCTTCGATCATGGAAAACAACAGCAGGACACCTCAAAAATCAGGAGATTTGAAACGCAAGAGAGAGGGAGCGACAAAGGCCGGAAGAGAGGATCGGTTGGAGACCGATCCGGAGGTGCTCGCTCGGAGACAGAAACAAATAAACTTCGGGAAGTCCACGGAAGGATATAAGAGGTACGTTGCGCAGTCGGGCCCCAGATCCCCCGGATATGCCTGAAATTAAAATTCACCTCCGCACTCATCGACGTCTCCCTTATTGGATCATCTGCCATACAGTGCGAGGACGAGGGGTCGGACGACCTATTCCTCGAACGGCAGTGAAACCTAACGGAGGTGATATCGATCGGCGACCTTCCAGATATATCGAGCTGGTGGCGCGCGACAAGAGAACATCTTGCCATCCCCAAACCCCGCAGAAAGAGTTGAAGTACAGCCGCCGCTCTTGGGACATGCAAGTGAAACTCTGGAGACGAGCTCTCCACGTATATGATGAGCAATGATGGGGTATGTGAACCTACGTCCCAGATAGGGAACGGTCTTCGGATACGATGAGCGAAAACATTGCTATGCTCATCCATACTCCCGCTCCGACTCAACGTTCCCCGCGCCGACCTCTAAGAAGGTTCTTGCTTCATTTTCAGAGAGCCTCCGTTTCGTCTGAGGACGGTAGAATTTAAAATGTATGAGTATCCCAACATTTTCCCTATAATGGTGACAGCCGAGTTCTTTGACCGCCGCCGAGATCCGACCCCTATCGTGAGGCATTTCCATGCTCTCGCGCATCGAGCTCACGCGCATTCGCCTTACGGAGCTCCTGTCAAGCATCGATGCGGTTCGAGGAGCCGAAGAATGACGCTGACCGAGTCACGATACTTACTCGTTATATACCATAGTCACGGTTCGCGATTTCGAGCATTTCCTTTTCGAAGACGTCAGGTGTGAGACGCAAGCAGTCGTCTCCGTAAATCCGTTCTGTTCACGTGAAATGCAACGTTTGCTTCATCTCTAGATGCAATTGAATCGAAATCTACGTCGAAAACCAACCATAGATAGATACCATATCGTAGATATATACCTGTGTATGTCAAAAATTTAAATTATTTTAAATGTCGCTTGTCTACCGTGGGCATCGTCGAGAGATGCATCCCTGATTTGGGGATCGACGAATGCGTACCGATACCAGCGAACCGCCCCTGTCGGTGGTGAACAGCTATTTTCCTGTACTAATCTTCGATTCCGGCGGAATTATCAATCGATTTGAATCAGTTTCGAAGTCGGCGATGAGGTATGCTCAGCTAGGAGATTCGAAAAAATGAGGAATATCAACGCCTAGTTTCATTAATCGCTGTTTTTGTAAATCAGAGAACATCTTGTGGAAATCGGAATAAATAGCGTATACCCACATCCGAGTTGGAGATTACATCCATTTCGCTAATATATTTCACTAGCGCTCCCGTTCCCGTTTCCCCGCTTTCCCGTTTCCCCGCTTTCCCGTTTCCCCGCTTTCCCGTTTCCCCACTTTCCCGTTTCCCCTTGTTTCCCGTTTCTGTTGGGAGGTGTGCGCAGCACCACTACGAATCTTCCTGCCACTTTTCGTCAATATATATTATTCCATCTAGAGAAGACAACGAACAAAGAGATTCACGCTGCTGCACCGCTTGTTCACGGTGGTTCACATTCCAACAGGTTACGGGCCCAGGCCACCATGCGTGAAAGAGTCAACACATTGAGGATAGAATGTTGACGAAGGCTGTGCGAGTGCCTATACGAGATCGATAGAAGTGAACCGAGTGCAAAAGAAGTTTCCTCGACCGCGGCGTGGTGACGGGTAGGAGCCCGGCGGGAGGACCGAGGCTTAAGGTAGCGGGTTCGGTGGACAGCTTGAGAGGACCGATGCTTGATGTAGCGGGTCTGGTGGACAGCTTGAGTGGACCGATGCTTGATGTGGCGGGTCCGGGCGATGAGATGAGAGGACCGATGCTTGATGTAGCGGGTTTGGTGGACAGTTTGAGAGGACCGATGCTTGATGTAGCGGGTCCGGGCGATGAGATGAGCGGACCGATGCTTGATGTAGCGGGTCCGGGTGATGAGATGAGGGGACCGATGCTTGATGTAGCGGGTCCGGGTGATGAGATGAGGGAACCGATGCTTGATGTAGCGGGTCCGGGTGATGATATGATGGACCCGTGCCAGGTGTGGCAGGTTCAGATCAGCTGAAGGGTCGAAATGGGAGACCAATGCCATTTGAGGCATGTTGGAATGGAGCATCAAGCGATTGCTGAGGCACGGCTCAGTTGTCCGCCAGCCTTTCGGAACGCAGACGGAAACGCTGGAAGCGTCATTGAGAGCGCTGGGAGTGCAGATGGAATTGCTGGGAGCGTCGAGGACGCTGGAAGCGTCGCTGAGAGCGCTGGGAGCGCAGATGGAAACGCTGGGAGCGTTGAGGACGCTTAGAGCGTAGATGAGAATGCTGGGAGCGTTAGTAGCGCTCGGAGCGCGGACAAAGGCTGCTCGGGAAGCGCCGGGAATTCGAGAAAACTCGATGGGGGCTCGGGGAGCACTCAGAGGGTGCCTCATCCACCTCGAATGAGCTCCCTGGTTTTGAAGCAAGGGGGAGCCTTCGAGATCGCGCTCCGCTTCGAAGGATCTTCGTGGTTCTGCGCAAGGGGGAGTGTTGGAAGGTGTGCGCCGCACCACTACGAATCTTCCCGCCGAGTTTCGTCAATATATATCATTCCATCTAGAGAAGATAACGAACAAAGAGATTCACACTGCTGTACCGCTTGTTCGCGGTGGTTCACATTCCAACAGTTTCCCCACTATCCCGTCCCCCCCCGATTCCCCGTGTCCCCGCTTTCCCGTTTCCCAACTTTCCCGTACCCCCACTTTTACTCCATATGTTCTTCGGAAAATCGTTCCCTTCAAGGCTACAGCAATTTTCAGCGAGGTTCTTCAGTAGAGACACAGAGGCCAATGATGACGGCAACCCCCGATAGCCTTCTTAGGAGCTCCCGAAAATCCACCTTCTCATGGTGATCTGTCCAGCCGATGGAGATCCTGAGAATTCCCATCTTTCCATTTGAAATCTTCCATTCTCGGTGGGAGGACCACTCGAATAACTTTTTTATGGTGGGAGGACCCATCACATGAGAACGACGACCCTCACATGACCTTCCTGAAGCTCCCGAGGACCAACCCCTGAATTTTTGCGGCGATCGGTTCCGGCGTTCGTGAATTTTGCAAATTTCCGATTTTTCATTTTTTCCGAGTTTTCGTATTCTCGTTAGTGGAGCACTCAAATAATTTTTTTAAGGTAGAAGGACTCATCGCATCGGAGAACTGACCCCCCTATAACCACCGCTGGATCCCCCAGAACACGCTCCTAAATTTTCACGACGATCGCTTCAGCCGTTTTCGAGTCTATAGGGTAGATTGTAGATGTAGATTCACTTCCTGAGACGTCCTTGTGCTCCTGCTGGGAATTCTGTTTGTTTTCATAACCTTGAAATGAATGCAGCTTCAGCTCAGACCGGAAAGATAGAGAATTAGGGAGGCGGAAAGTAGCAGAAGAAATTCCGAACTGTCGTCAATCATATCTCCCGATTGGATGCCTCATGGAGCTCCAATCGAATCATCCGGAACGAATACATGTCCACCGCTGAGAAGCTCTGTATCGGACCTCCCTCGGACCCAAAAGGCCACCATGTCTTTATGAGAGGTCTCGTGTGATTCTCATTCAAAGTTACAATTAGTTGCTCAGAATATGCCCTACTCACGGGCTTCTCTGTGCTACACCATCAGTGGCTCTTTGAGCTGGCGTCTCGTGGGAAAACAGCCCTCCGGAGTTGGCATTCAGGGAGGTTCCCGAGGAGTGGTGCGAATTCGATCAGACATTACCAAATGTTCGTCTGACGTGAGTGCGCTAGCTGTGGAAAGTCCTCCATTCGGGAGGACCTCCGAATCTGGAACGGAGGAGAACTTCTGCGCAAGTGTCCATCGAACTCCAATTGCGGGGGAAAGTCCTAAATAATAACAATGAGAATTTTGTTGACTGCAGGTGTTTGAGTCATATCCGATCGGAATTTTGGATTTTAGAGCCATTTCTCCGAACTTCGCTCTGAGTCTTTTTTCCCCGATGCAGTTGTTCTCTACCATTGTTGTACTTGCATTGGCCGGGATCAAAACTCCGGGAAAGGTTCCCTGGATGGTCCTGTCGGCAATCCTGACGGAAATCTCGACAAATGTTCACGGGAAACATGGCGGCAGTCAGCACGGGAAGAGCTTGATAAGTCTCGCGGAATATTGAGATTCACATCGATAGCTCTGAGCGTTGAAGATACACCGAAGAAGGCGTGCTCAATGAACTGAGCCGCGGTGCTCCGCAGGAGCATGAGTGCGTACCTCGAGGAGGCGTACCTCCACTTGCGGAAGTTTCACCGAGTGGATGGTGGAACTTCGGTTCAAATGCACAAGCAATAATTCATACTTCCCATTGTCGTAATCTTCTACCTTGTGTGCAGCTTAAGATAGGTGATGATTTGATGATCCCAAGTCGGATTCAGGAGTGGAGAAAAGACCGCAAAGCATCTAGAGGCCTACGCCTCTGCATCGCGGCCGAGAAGCGCCGAGGAATAGAACACTGGGAACCCACGAGCGAACGTCTTCCTCCCGAGGGGTACCTCTAATAAGTCCATATCACCGCAGCGGATGGCGGGCGATGGATGGAGCTCTCAATCTCCCCGTTCGTTTTGTGTTATCCCGCTTTCTCGAATCCTTTAGTTTAATTAGAGAAAAAGTACCTGTCCCGGAGTGATCCGATCGAGTAGCGTCCATGGTACAGACTACAGACCAGCCAATCCGCTGTAACTTTGCGTTTCAGCCGTCTGATCTGTTCATTCAGGCGACCGGTCAGACCACGCTCGGTGTACGCAACTTTCGCCTGTCATCGTTCCATCATCCGAGGATATTGGAGCACCTGTTCTAGATTGTATTCCGCTCAATCTAACACGAGCGAAGTTCCACGCGAATACTCCCAATACGTCAGCCTCGAACTCTCGACGTCGCTCTCGCTTCCGTGGATCATCTTGACAGCTGGAAGATATCGCATCCCTTCAACAATCAAGCTCTGATCGAGTCAAAGACTTCCAAGGATAATAATCGATCCGCCGATGAACTCAATGCCAGATCTTTAGATGAATATACTCCTTCACGCTAGGGAGCTCGGCCCCTCGCAACCTAGAATTCCGAGGACGCATTTGCAGTGAATCCTCCACCGAGAACACATGTTCGTCATCATCATACTACTCGTGCTCGGACCACTCGTGATGGCGGAGGACGCAGGAGCGATCGCTTCGCAGAAGTTCGATCCCTGCGCAATGAAGTTGAACATCGTCACGAAGCAGCGGAAATTGAATATGATACGCTTGGCGAAGATCTTCATTGAGAAATGTTCGTTCAGCTTCATATCTAAAGCCACAGCACTCGGGAAGAATGCCACGAGTCTCTTAGACCTTGTGTGGCCGGTATGCTGTAAGTGGACCTTAGTAGCTTTCAACTTCGACGCCATCAGGCCCAATTGTCCACCCAAGAATGCCTCACACTTGAGGAAGATGTACGCAGTCACGAGAAACATGCTGGACATCCACCTACGGGACACTTCTGTCAGGCAGCAGTACTGTCGGAAGGGTGTT